CAGAGTGCCAACGTCAGCTGCACACACTCCCCCTTTCAGATTGCTGGAAGCTTAGTGCAGCTTCAGCGCCTTGTAAAAACACTTTTGACAGATCGGACGCTCTTGCACATCTGATCCGCGAAGTGCGGAGCACTCTTGGGACACGTGCACACAGTTTCCGCGAGAGGTAATATACATGTGGATTCTTCTGCGTCCTCCAGTTTGTCCCCTTGGGACGCGCGGTAGGTGAAGTGCATCAGGGTTCGGTGTTGGCTCAGACTCCTCTGGGTGCCGGCTGGCACTAGCCTCTTGGGTCCCTGGGCTCTCTACACTGCAAGTGGGCTCGGGAGCGAATCCACCTAGGGCGGTGTTATGGATATTGATCTGGATCTCCTTGGTGGTGATAGGGCAGGATCGCCTTGCACACCACACCCAAGCACAAGCCATAAGTGCTGCAGCGATCCAACCTAAGAACCAGCCTAGTCCAAACCATATCCACCCATCTTCACCTCTATCCCACCCTTTAGGGTCGTGCGGCACTGGGCACAGGAGGCTTTCATCGGCTGATCCCTCAGCTGGTGCGATGCTCGCTGCCACCGCAACTGTAGCAATGCCTCTTGACATCATTCCAGCTCGAGCTCTCTGTCGGGATGTTGGTGGGCTCTGAGTAGGTCCTCTCAGTCCTTCTTGCTGATATCCACCAGAGCTGTCGCTGGATCGTTCGCGGATCGTGTACTCTCCGGAACTGGTTGTGGCCTGTTCAAGCTCTGAATCCTCTTCTCCAGCTCCTTCAGGGCGGCCTTGATTCCTGGTAGGATCAAGCTGCACAAGCCAAACCTCGTCATCAGCGTAACGCGCTACGAGCACTGGTGGGGGATCACCAACCGTAGGGGTTCTTGGGGAGATCTCTCCCCTTTCTCTCTGGTGCATGAACTCCTGCACCTGCAGATAGGCAGCCCTGACATCTTGATGGCTCAATGATTGGCTTGGGACATCGACCTCGGCCCCCCTTTGGTTGTCACGGCGGTGCTCCGACAGGCTATCTCTAAGGTCACGGTTTTCTTGCCTGACTTCTCTTAAGGCTGCCTCGCACCTCCGCACCTCCTCACATCGCTCAGCCAGAACTTCACGAAGATACGTGCACCGATCCACATACTCCTGGCCAAACCTCTCACTCTCGGCTAGCCTTCGCTGTAGATCCTCAATGCGCTCATGATGGTGCACTGTCCTCTCAACTATATCCTTGTAAGTGGATGGCGTGGGATCAAGAGGCAGAAACGGGCCGGGGCTAGCGCTACTTGGTTCGGCGGTCTGGTCCTTATGAGCTTCTGTTTCTTCTTTCCCACGACTGGGCCCTTCTATCAGCGGCCTTTCCAGATCCGTGGCGTCCAAGTCCTCTGAAGAACATTTCGGCTCGGGCGGAGGTCGATATGACCCACATGTCTTGGCCTGAACCCTCGGCGGGCAGCAGGCTTGAGTAGCACCTTTTGCTAGTTCAGCCCCAAGGTAGAGCCCGAACCCCACACACGTGCTGATCAGGGTAACCCAAACTAGTTCCCACCCAGATCCGTTAACCTCTGCAGCAACCTGGGCATCCGCCGGCTGGACCAACGACGCAACGAGCACTGCAAGGAGAACCTTAATTACCACTGCCTGGGCAATCTGAGGCTTGGGGCGACCAGAGCTATCGGCTCCGGGTTGGACTCCGTGCAGCCTAAGCAAGTGGAGTAGGTCGGCGAACCTCGCAGGCCCAAGTATTTTTGTGCCGATATCTGCCGGCATGTACAGCCCGGGCAGATGGGCGATACGCCAACCCAGGTCCTGGGTGGCCTGCCTCAGGATCGCGCCTCTTAGCCTCAAGTGCCTGGTTCTCCAAGCCCCTGCATCAAGCTGACACAGCTGGATTGCGGCGGAGTTATCCCCGTAGAGAACCTTAACTATCGGTTCTTCAGCTACATCTTCCTCGCTCGGGTGAACTGGGGTTTGGCTCAGTACTTCAATGGTTGGGAGGAAAGCTCTTCCCATGTGGTAGGCCTCGACCATGCCAATGAGCTCGGCCTCTGCCGCGGAGGCAGCGATCAGGCTCTGCCTTCCCCCGGCCCACATCACCAAGTCTCCTCCCCAAAACAACATGGCGCACTGGTACGATCGGCTTGCTTCATCTGCACAGAAGGATGCATCGGAAAACACTTCAACCAAACGCTCCCCCCGCTTAAACTGCAGCTCGTTCCACAGGCCGTGGTCGTTGGGCGGAGGCCCATATGACAGAGCATGCTCCAGGGTGCGCTTTAAGTATTTCATGATAACAAACCCTGCATCACAAGCTCCAGCCGGATCGGTTGAAATCATTTGGCACATGTTCTGAACAGCAAACACCACGTCGGGACGGGTATGGGTTGATACCCAGAGAAGCTGACCAGCGATAGCCTGAGCTCTCCGGGTGAGATCTCCGATGCTCTGCTCTCGGCTCGTAACTACCGGAGGCTCTTTCACTGCGGGAGCGGTAGCTTCATCATCAATCTCCCACTGCTTCAGCATCTCTCGGATGTAGCTTCGTTGATGCATTAGAATCCGGTCTCCTTGTATTCTCAACTCGTAGCCCGCGAAGCTTACGTCTCCCTTCTCATGCACCGTTTCTGGCGCTGACGTCTCCCACGGCCTACGAATGGTTGCCATCACTTCAGGCAACAAGTGGGACGGCGCAACGACGGCGAGGTCGTCTACATATATCCCAATGAATGCCAGCAGCTGACCATCGGTCTCTCTCTTAACCTCCCAAAGGTTTGCATCCTGAGGCAACTGTCTGCATCTCACCGGAGTCCCGTCTGTGAGTGCAGTAATGGACTCCAGGGTCTGGTTCCGGAACAGCACCCAGTTTTTCGGTGACACATCGAGGCCGTACATGGCTCGCTCAAGCTGCCAGTAGCGCTCAGTGCATATACCTGCAGTGCGGAGAACCGCCGGCACCCGTACTATCAGGACCTCGCTATTAGGGGTTACGATCGGGGCATTGAGGAACGCTGTCCGAACATCGGTGGTGGCAATGTCCCATCCTCTCATTGCTGCGCTCCTTACTAGAAGCCGGATTGTCTCCGAGGAAATGCCGGAGGCATGCACGTCTGTGCGATCCCTTGAGGGCCCCTTTTGGTAATTTCCACAGCCGACAATCCTTGTCTTCTTTTTCCCACTCCGTGCCTTGATGGAGAATACGAGCTTTCCGGGGAGAACTTCAGTAGTAATGTTCGGGTCTTGAGTAACAAGCTCAAACTGCTCCTGGTCGAGGGGCTTGCAGGTACCTGTGGTGTGTACTAGGGAGTTATACTCGTCGGTCATGGATTGTTTCCAGGCTCCTAGATCCCGCTTTACCTCCTCCACCGACACTAGTCGCGTTTGAAGAAACTCTTCCTCACCGCCGACATGCTCCTCCGAGACCTCTGGGCGGTTCTGAGGCAGGCCGTTGGCTGAACGAACCGCTGGGCTCTGGGTACAAAGGCTATGGGTTGCCAACTTATCTACCCCTTCAACGACTGTGGAGCCTGTCTCAGGGAGGAGCTCCCATGCTGCCTGCGTGCACTTCACGACCTGGCCCTCTAGGTCGCCCAGTCTGGCTAGAGCTCTCGCAATCTCTGGACCACCGTTGCCACCTGGAGCTGCTTCCTCTTCAAGCGTCTCGAGCGCTTGCTGCTGAGTACGATGCTGCTCCGCTCCCAGAACTGCCTCGCTCTCTAGATCAATTTTCATCTTCCAGGGGATTGACTCCAAGCGAAAGGTAACGTTTGCTGCCGGGGTGCATGCGCAAGCCTTAAGCTCTGACGCAACCACAGGAACTGAGAACCTACAGTCCTCCCCGTCTTCAGCTTCAAGACCGTCCTCATACCAGAACCACAAATCATCTTTGACTTCACCTTCTCGGTCTGTCGGAGTTACCGGACCAACTTGGCCGACCTCGCAACTTGACCACTCCAAAGGGCCTGACTCAACTGACGCAGCTGAGCGACCAACGTTGCGCGCACCAGCGGTGAGGGAAGACCTCTCTGGCCGTGAACGGGCCAATGAGACAGCTGAAGAACCTTGGGCATCTATCAAATCTGGAACCTCTTGCAACGCACCTGTGGCGTCTAGATCATCTGGGACTTGCAACGCACCTGTGGCATTTAGATCACCTACAACCAGAAGCTGCTGGCCAGTACCCTTCACCGAGGCATGCCATTTGCTTGCATCGAATGCAACCGGCCTTCCGGACTTATAAGACATGCACCTTCCCTTCACCTCTTTACCTGCGCTCACCTCCTTGCAAACTTCTTGACTCAGACGCTGATCCGGGCTCAAGCCCTCGTCTTGTACCCATAGGCCTCCCCCACTAGTCACTACTGGAACCACAACATTGCTTATGCCCTTTTGATTATGGCTGTCACGATGGGGTTTGTGCTCAGTGTTCCACAGCAAACCTATGGTAGCGAACGGAGACGAGGTGTGGATACTCAGATACCTGGCTAGATACCCGGTCACCCATGGGTGCTCCTTTGCCTGGTTCTTCATCCCAGTCAGTCCTCCAAAGGAAAACGCTCCGGCAAAGAACACGACTCCTTTCTCAGCCTTTTCCACTATAGCAAGTTGACTACCATGCGCAACATCGGGCGTCCTGCTGAGCACTAGTGCCAGTTTTGCCACAGCTGACGGGGAGAAATCCTCTTGTTCGAGCAACTTCTGGGCTAGTACATCGGCCTCTGAGGTGGGGCCTGGCAGGGTCATTGGAGCCTTGATTTTCCGGGCAGCAGGTGACTTGCCAGTGACTCTTCTGGACGGAGCATTAGGGTCTATGGGTGGGCCCTCGTAGGTGACAACGATCTTTTCCTCATCTTGCGCTGAGGGGAACAACTTGCTTGTAGTTAAAAAGTTCCCATCCGAAGTAACCACCACCCAACCTCTATCGTTATCGACTGAGGGCCCCTTGGTCTTTGCTGCGACCGTCACAGCATGCCAGGCTCCCCGGCGCCATGTCCTTTGGACCACCTGCACTTTCGTGTTGTAGGGAACCACCTGCCTACGTGGCATATGAAGTAGGTCACGGGCCTTATTTTGGAGCACCATGGCGGCAAGCTGAACGGCAAGGGGCCACTCTTCCACCGGAGCACCTCCTTGTTCCATGAAGGTTCGAGCTTTGGCCTTGATTCGACCAATTGTTGACTCGACTCGTCCATTCCCTTGGTGTTCTTCTGCAAAAGCCATTGTCTTTACGATCGAGTGTTGGGCACACCATCCCTTCAGAGCTGCATTATTGTACTCCCTACCCCTGTCGGAGTGCAGTCTCCGGACTGAGAACCCTAAGTTCATTGCTTCCGCCCTCATCCGGCTGATGGCGCCTAGCACTTGCTGCTGGCCCTTGCCCTGCAGCGTTTCAACAAACACCCACTCCACTAACTTAACCTCGGGCAAGAACTCCTGCTCTGCCTCGGCCTTCCAGGCCTCTTGGTCGCGCTCCATGATCTCCTGCCATGCTCCTTTGTTGGCCCTAGCCTCACCGAGTTCCTTAGCCCCAAGCTCCGGATCTGGCTCGTCACCACCATCAGCAAAGAACTCCTCATCGCTAAGAACTCCTCCGGCATGCTCCTCTGCCTCACCTTCCCGCGGTCGTTCCTCGGGATCACCCTCCTGATCATCAGCTGGAGGCGGCTCCCCGGTCTGCAACTCTAGTACGGGAACCGTTAACACCCCCACAATCATGTAGCGGGCGCTTTTCCCTGTCTCGTCTGGACCTCGTTTGTAGGGCCCGGCCGTGTCGACTGACAGACTCCAGGCCTCCGGACACAACACGCGACGGTGCTGCTTTCTCTTAGCTCCGCCCCTTATGCAAAATTTGCAGTCTCTCTTAAAAGGAATATGGCCTTGCTTGATATGCTCAATAAAGGAGGCATCCAGCGCTTTAACCCGTTCTCCTTCTGCTGGGCGACGGTCCGTTCGTCGCCGAGAGCTCAGCATTTCACTCACCGCTACTACCAGGCCTGGGGCCCATGCTGACCACGCTCTAGACCCATGTCTACTCAGCTCCGCATCCCCAAGCTTATCTAGTCCCGGACCTCTACAGTCAACCAAACACGCCGCAGGTATGAGGTTTGTGGCAAGGACAGTGGGCCGACGCTTGCAATGCAGAAGAGGTCCTTGGTCGAACGCCACTTCTTGAATCCCAAACCGATTGCTGAAGCTCTTCCACTCAGGAGTTGCCCAAAATGAAGGTGACTCCCCGTCGTCCTCTGGTTGCTCCAGCACAAGAGCTGGCGACTCCATTCCAAGGCAATGGTTGGCCACTAGTGCGACTGTTTGCAACACCAGCATTCTCATGAACATCACATCATCACTATGGCGTGCCGCTGCCTCTGGCCCTGACAACATCACCTCATCTCGGCACCCCATGCTGCTTCCACGGTTCCTAACGGGTCCTAGGGGTGAGTCCTTGCTGCAATCATCACTTACGAACCGAAAGCTCGAAAAGGACCGAGACGGCATACTACTAACAACCTCTTTTATCATGCCCCGATGGGCCAGCTCAAGCAGGTAGGCGTACGCCGCCTCATTGAGGCCTCGGTTATACGCATCCACATGGAGGACGACCTGACCTGCGCGGTCCGCCACATCCTGAAGGATGCGCTTTGATCCTCTGTCGCTCAAGTGAAGCAACACACCTCCTGAGCGCTCAACCCGCCTCCTTACTCGCCGGTTCCACCCCCCGGGCTTGCAATCTTCACAAGGTGACGGAACTATCTCATCCTTGAGCTGTCCTTCAATCTGAGGAAACAATCGGCTCACGAGTATGCGGGTGGCCGCAGCTCCATCGAGGCCTCCAGCACACAAGGCCTTAGCCAGCTCTGCTTCGGTGTACTCCTTCATGTCCGCCAAGACACAACGGATCCTCGCCTCATGCACAGTGCGGCGATTCACATGATCCTCATACTCAGCGATGAGCTTAAGCGCGGTGTCGTGCTCTATCTCCGGGCACCCCGAAGATGCATCAACCTGCAAGTCACCTCGGGTGGCGTGCACGACCTGGCAAGCCTGCTTGGTCCACGTGATGCGGTACCCCAGCTCAAGCAGAGCAGCCACTGACACTATCGGACTTACCGGGGTGGGGCTGAGCAGCGTGCCTGCTTTGTTGACATGCAACCGACACGACCCACAGGCCAGCTCCACATCAAGCACCGGCAGGTGCCTCTCGGAGCTCTTGGCTGTCCTAAGGCATGCAGTGGCCCCCCCGTCTATTAGTCCGCGCCGCCGTTTGCCTGTCCCAAGATCATTAAGCTGGACCACAGTTTTCACCGAGCAGCTCAACTTTGACATCCTCATGCTCTGAAGAAGCTTGGTGGCCTCTTTGATAGCATCGGCCGTGTCAGCGTTCGGCTTGGTATGCTCGGGCTTAGCAGGCTGGGTCTTGGCAGCGGCCTTAGGGTCGGGCTTTGTCTTGGCCTTAGGGGCAGCACTAGAGGGTTGGGCCTTAAGCTTTGGCTTAGGGTCTGGGGCGGGCCTTTTCCTCCTCCAGGCGCTTTCTGGTGTGCCCCCCCCACATATCCAGCAGCACCGTGGCCTCTCCAGGTCGTGGCTGAATGAGCAATTCTTGCCGAACCTACATCCCGCATCGGTGGCCCATCCAAAACATGGAGTTTTAGCCTTTCCTTGCCCCTTCTTGGACGGTTCGGCCGGCTGAGGCGACTGGGTCTTCGCCCCTCCTTTTCCAGTGCTCGCTTCAGCTCCCATAGCTGCCACACGCTGCTTCTTGTTTGAGCCTTCGGGGGCACTGACAGCCAAGACTTCAAGCTCAGCCATCAGAGACCTGGCAAACTGTTCTACAGAGTCTAAGCTCGGAACGGTATCCAGTTGTAGAGCCATTCTCGTAGTATTCATTCTGAACATTAGCGCTGGATTGCGCTCAAGCACTGGTCTTGACATCGAATCCAAGGCATCCAACAGCAATGTGCAGTCGGGAATGGCCACATTCATTCCCCGAGCCCTTTCAAGGTGACGAAACCACATGTTCAGGCTTTCTACACCTTGTTTGGCCGATCCTCCTTCACCAAGCACCGTTAGGCCTTTGAGCAGCTCAGTGCGCTCATGAAGGCCTCCCGGCTGAAGACAAGGAACACGAGGCCAGTGCACGTGGTGTTGCGCACACTAAGCGCGTGATCGTAGATGCTTTGGGGAACTGCTTTACTCAGCATTGCCAATGCACGTGACTCAAGTCTTAAGAAGCGCTCGCTCTTGAGGGACTCCGACGGTGCACCCTGTATTGAGATGCGCTGTAACGGGGTAGCTGCGATCCAAGCATTGTAGGCTGACCTTGCCTCCTGCATGACTTGTCGCCACCATACATGCGCCTTCGGCGCTAAGTCGTGGATGGAGGGCTGGATGCGGTGGATCCAGTCTCCGCATCTCAGCGCCGGATTTGAGTCCGACGGAGGACCCAACTTGGGTAGCTCCCAAAGCGTGCTGTCTCCGGGGAGGAAATCCCTGCCATCAAAAACCTCACTTTCAGACCTCATCGGTGGGGTTGCAGGCGGAGTTCCTGGAGGAACACGAGTCCCTCCGGGTGTCGTCGGTGATGGGTTACCTTTTCCAGTAGGTCGACGTCTCGGCGTAGCTGGACTTGGAGTCCTAGTCTTTGGCGGTGAGCCTGACGGCCTTGGAGGAATCCACGAAGGGGACGACGGCTCTTGTGCCACAGGCCTCGCCGTACGGGTAAACGGCGATCTTGCTTGAGGATCAAACGGGGTGGGTACTGGAGGATGGCCCCCAAACACAGGAAGGGCAGGCACTGCTTTGTCTAGGTGGTCCGGAGACGGAACTTGAGGGGCGTACTCTTCCGAGGCTATCGAGAAATACTCTGGACCGGTAGGGGTCACCTGGATCCTGCCTTCGCCATCAAGGATGCCCTCTCTTGGAACCCCGTCAACCATGACCACCAACTTTCGAACCTGAAGGCCCTGACTGTCTATCGCTGGGTAACCCCTTACTTCATCCGGTCCATTTGACAGACCGGGTGGGCTTTCCGACGTAAACCGGGCCTGACCGGGGACTGCCTGACCTGATACCTGAGATATGACATCAGTAGCAACCTTCCCAAACTCTTGCGGTGCGAAGTCCTGTGCTACCTGACCTGGTGATTGAGGTGCGATAGCAAGGGCAACCTGACCTGACACTTGCTGTGCTATGCCGAGGGCAACCTGACCTGACTTCTGCGGTGTGTAGCCAGCTGCAACCTGACCTGACACCTGCGGTGCTATGTAAGCCGCATCCTGACCTGACGCCTGCGGTGCTATGCCAAGGGCAACCTGACCTGACGCCTGCGCTA